TTATAAATACTTGATATAAGGATCTCCAAACGAATTCTAAATAACTATCTGGATAAGTTTAACAAAAATATTTGTGTTCTATGAAACAAAATTTATCTCATATGTTTATCTCGTTTAAAGTAACACTTCTTTATAGTGCCCGTTTGGATTAGCGATTAGAAAAGTAGCTTATTGAAAAAGTAGCTTATGGATAAGTGAAGTTGGGTAAAAGCTAAATTGAATAAGCTGAATTGTGTTTGGATTGAAGTTTAATAAAGCTAGTTTGCAAAAGTAAGATTGATAAAAAGTTGTTTGGATTATGGTTGAGTAAAAGTAAGTCTGGTTGTAAAATGACCAAAATGAGTATGAGTTTTAATAAATAACGAAACATGATAAAAAAAATTTGTATAATATAATGAATTTAAATTAATTTAATATGAAGAAGTGAAATTTAACAGGTGATTTAAAATTTAAAATTTTAAAAATCAAAAAAATATTTTAAAAATGAAGCTCCTTGGGCGGCAAAGTAATGAGCCTTTACGTTAATCTGAGAGGGGTCATGGGTGATAAAGCTTGATAAAAAAAAAGAAGAAGTAAATAGGGAATAATGATAGAAATGGGAGAACAACAAAGGAGGAAATAAAAAAAAAAAAGGACCCTCTGACAGCAACGAAATTGTGGGAGAGCTGAGGTGAAAAAAACGAAGAAAGTTGAAATGAGAAAATATGGCAGAAGTGAGAGAAAAGAAGCTCTGGTAGAAAATAAGCTCTTCAATAAGCTATAAAATTCAGCTTGAGAGACAACGTACGTTTGCCGGCTTAAATTTCATAAGCTCTTTTTTTTTTTAAGCCCAACCAAACAGCATGATTTTTCCAATCGGGCTTACACTACAAATAAGCTACTTTTAAGCCCCTCAAAAGCCATGCCAAACGGACCCATAGCTAATCCTGATCCAAAGTGGTATTAATTTTATTGATGATGATCATATTATATTGATTTTAAACCTATTAACTAATTTTATAACTAATATTTTGAGTTCACGTGAGTTATTTTAAGGTGAGCCGTAAATAACTAGGCAGTGATTAAGTAATAATGTTTAGTTTCATGGGTGTAGAGGTTGGATGGAATTGTTTGCAAGTCTGCCAACCATTCATATAAGAATATATTACTTTCAATCGTAATTATAAAATCTTATTTGTAGTCTACAAATAAAGTCTTATAATTAGGATCAGAAGTAATAATTCCTATGAAAGTGATGTATACATGTGAATATACATAGCCATTGCTGTATTGACCACTTTCGTATGCCATGAGCCCATGACAAAGCCGCAGGGGTGTTGATCTTCTAGATGACAATGCAATCTTGTCTCCTTTATGTCTATTTTCTAAAGAGTTTAGCCAAAGACTTTTCAGTTTTCACTATTCTCTTCATATACGTCGATGAATCATCAAAGATATTCTCTTCAAGTTTTATAGACTCGTTAAGAAAAGCAAACTGCCCCAGGGACAATTTGGGATTTATAATACCCCCCCAACTCTTCTCCTTAACGTACAACCAATTCACTTATGTTGATTAAATTAAATAAATTGGTTAATTATTATCATTATGACATATGTGCTTTGTTGAGGAAGCCTTAATCGGGGGTAGTTTATTAGGAGATGATAAATGAGGGAGATATATTTTATATGGAGGATCAAAACTAACTCTCTAATCAGGTCCCACATTAAGAAATATTCCTCCGATCCTATTTATAAGTCATCTCTAAAGGTCCGTTTGGATTGCCAGTGAAAAAAGTAATTTATTTCCAATATGACTTCTAGAAAAGTAAGATTAGATAAAAGTTAAATTGAATAAGGTGAATTGTGTGTTTGAGTTGGAGTTTAAAAAAGTTAGTTTTGTAGAAGTGAGATTGATAAAAGATTGTTTAGATTATAATTAAGTAAAAGTAAGTTTGTTTGTAAAATTATCAAAATAGGTATGAGTTTTAATAAATAATGAAACATGATTAAAAAAATAATTTTACATAATACAATGAATTTAAATTAAATCAATATGAAGAAGTGAATTTTAACGAGTGAATTAATTTTTAAAAAAATAAAAGAAAAGAAAGAGATATGAATTGATAACTAATACGCACTCTATTTCTCTTGATCAGAATTCAAATCATAACACAAAACTATGCCTTTCTTCTTCTTCTGAAACACTGAGACCCACATTTTGTTTTTCTCTCTTCACTTTTCCAATGCTATAAGCTCTTAAAATTAGTTTCTCCAAAAACCACGTTTACTGCTAGCTTTTTTTTTTTTTTGCTAAAGTACAAATATCCTTCTAGTGAATGCAATTCTATTCGAGGCACTGTCAGATGCTAAATGTGGACATCTCTCCTAGCAAGGATTCAAACCTTAGTTCACCACGTTATGGGGGACTAGCATCTTCCGCTAGACCCAACCCTTGTTGGTTATTTACTGCTAGCTTTTGGTCCCATGTTAGATCCCCTCATAGACCTCCCAAACAGCCCATAATATTTCAATCGGGCTTAATACACTTATAAGCTGCGTTTGTTGGTAAACAGGTACTAACATGTTTCACACAGACTAATAAAAATCTTAAATTTTATTAACTTTCATTTAAAATTCAATAATTTTTCAACTTTATTCCTATTTAATATGCATTATACTTTATATAAACAAAGACAACATAATAACAAATGAATGGTAAAATTATATATCTATATAAAAAACTTTTCTCACTGTCTTATGAATAGGATTAAAAAAATATCTTTTTTCTCTTATAAATGGGACCGAAGAAGTATATTAGGTGAAATTCTTGATCCAAATGCCTAATTTCCCTCAATAGGGCTACAACATGTTGCACCGTTGTACCTCTTTAACCAGTAATTTTATCGCGACATCAAACCTAACTCCTCCATGGGAGTAGCAATCCATGTAAAGTGCAAGTCCCTTTGTTTTAGACTCAGACTAATGAAAAAAAAAAGAAAAAAAAGAAGAAGAAGTCAGTTTCAGAAGATTTTACTCTTCTTTTTTTTTCAAATGGTCCCCAACAAATGTATACGCAAATAGCCCCAACACCTAGAAGTTATTTCCTAGTACTTGAGTTTCCTGCTCCGCTCTTTGCGTATCGTATGATTCCGTGTTGCAAAGGTAAGGAGAAGAAAATGTTCGATTTAGAACAGTTAACTACTTTTTGACTTTTTGCCAAATATGCCGGATTTTAGTGCAATTAAAAAAATAACTAGCGATTTGCTTTTGAATGTGGTTATTCACTGTTACAGAGAAACTTAAAAGTATTTATTCATTTTAAACAAAATATAACTACTCATCAATTTATGCAATTTATGTTAATATTTTATCTTTTATTATATCTGCAGAAGATTGTTCATCAACTGGTTTAAGCTTCACGCAAGTTCCGAGAAAGGAAAAAATTAAAAAGAAAATTTTACGGAGTGGTGTGACCAGAAATGAAGAAAGTGGTTGTTGAGTGAGCTTGACGTACAATTAAATCAAGTCCACGTTCCACACACTGTAATTAATTCATGATTAATTAATATATAATGTGTCATTATTTTGTGATCAATGCTTTCCCAGTCACCAAACACGACTTCTTAATGCAAAATATTGACTTCTATTTCCATATACTTATCTGATTTTAAATATAAAACCCTTATACACTAGTATAAGGGTCTCATATTTAAAACTGAAAGAGTATTACAACCGTTAACTGCATTCAATTTCTTTGTTCTCCATCATTCTTCATTGTGCTGACGCGTTTTGTTTTTCTGTCCAGCTATAATGTCATATACTAAGTTATAAAAAAAGATAAAATAAGATCACAAAAACTAAACAAGTTCTGATGAATAGTCGCAGGCAAAAATAACGAATGAATTTGAAGGTAATTGTGATTTAAACACTAAATTAGATGTTGAGCCAGATGTAGGTGGGATATTTTTGGTCAAAACACATGCTATGTAAGGAGCTGCGGTCCCCTTGTAAAGTCAGATCAATACTTTTTTTTCTCAAGTGTGAACAAATCTTTGAATTTTATTGATTCGATGATTATCATATCAAATCAATTTAATTGTTTGTTTAATAGATATTTCTACGCAACTCTAGAACACGAGTTGTGGAATTATAATTAGTGGATAAAACGCAACTTGAAATGCATTTTATTTTATATTTTACACCGATGATATTGATAATTCATGATGTCGTTTATCTCTATTCAATGATCTGGTTATAATTAAATCAAGTCAAATAAATTTTTGAAGATTATATTAAATATATATTATAATGAATAATTAAATTAATCCATATATTATAAAATATATGACAGCGTGTGTGTGTGTGTGTAATGTTATAAATCTTTATCACATAATGTTAAACTTCTATTTTATTTTATTTTTGACCAGAATTAAACTTCTATTTTAAACAGAAAAGAAAAGGACCAAAGTGTTGACTTGTTTCAAATGTCGGATCAAAAGCCTATTGTTCTTCTTGTTTTTTTCGAATCTGGTAAATAATTTTTCTTCTTTATGTGATCAAAGTATACAAACAGATTACAAATCAAAAGCAAAAGGGTTGGTTAAAATTTAAAACATCATTAGCTATGGAATGATGATTACATTTGACATGGGCCTGGGAAAGGCCCCATGATGAAGGCCCACGAAGAAATTAAAGCCCAATTAAGGGGAGAAAAGGGATAAGAAAAGCTGGCAGGTTGCCCAGAATGGAGGAAGACAATCCACCCTAGAGGGATTCAGTTATTGACAGTTAAGGGAATGAAACGAACTAACCAGGCCTAAACTTTCCGGATACAGCAAACTAAAAGAGGCGAACAAATGACGTTGTCCCCTAAATTCTGGTAATATCACCAGCAACCCAACGAAAGGAGCTTGAAAGGACCCACTCATTATTGCTTCGGGAAGCACAGCTTCATATATCAATCCCCCTTCAACCCTCCTCCTTCTCAAAGGTGCAAGGGCGGGGGCAAGTTACCGGAAACAATGGAGCTGAAGCTTCGGAATGTGGTCTTGGCGGTGGCGGTGAGCGCGATGGCGATGGCAATGGCAACCGAAGCCACGTCGGAGGAATGGAATAAAGAGTTTTCCATGGACGGGCAGCTGGTGGGTGATAAGGTGAGTGAGGAGGAAGAGATGATGATGATGATGGAGGTCGGGTCGGCCCGTCGGAGCCTGCAGGGGGGAAAAACAAGGCACATAACCTACGACGCGTTGAAGTCGGACCGAATCCAATGTGGTTACCGTGGACGATCCTACTATGATTGCAATCGGAGGGACCGTGCCAACCCTTATCGCCGAGGTTGCACCGCCGTCACCCACTGTGCTCGAAACACTGATTGATTTCCTTATTCCTTTCTCATCACACAGCCACCTTACCAAACCATACTCAACCATAATTCCCCACACACACACACACAAACACGTGTATGCTTCGCGTGATCGTGTCCTAGTGCAATGAAACTATATTATCCAATATTCACGATGCCTCTTAATGCTGTTGTCTCCCTTGTTTCTTTGTTCCTTTTTTATGCCTTCCACGCGGAACAAATTAATAAACGAAAAAAGGAACAATAGTCTTGTAGAAGTTGCACTGCTACTAGTTTCAATCTTCACGATTATGCGTCTGAGTTCTTACATATATGTGTGTGTAGATTATATCTAATCCTGATCCTTCTATGTATGCGCGTGATGTATAAGTTTAAGAAATTTCTTTAGTCAAATTTAATTTTTATATATATACACTCCTCTGATCCTTAATATATAACTTAATTAGTGAGTTGATTTTAATCCTCAATATAAGACTTATTTCTCATATTTATCAATTTTTTAAATTATCCATATAAATATTCCCTCAACCATAATCAGACAGAAGAGTAAGAGAAGATATTAAAAAGATGATTATGGTGTTTTAGAAAAAACATATCATATTTTTTATAATTAACTAATTTACCTAACTTTATTAATCTAATTAAATTAGTTAAGTATATTTTATATTAAGTATCAGAGGAGTATTATCTGAAGGGTAAATTAAATGACCCTGATTTTCTCTGGCTTGCTGCTAACGGCGGGCTGTAAGGATTCACTAGAGAGGATATTAGATTTCACCGACTTTATTGTACTTTAGGGTTTATTTAACGATTTTTTTATGATTTTTTAGAGTATCTAAATTAAAGGAAACTCCACTAATTTTAGAGTATTTTTTAAATTATACAAAATTGAAAATTGCAGCATTTCTTTACTAATGTCACCTTTTTTCATATAGAATATAATGAAAAAAATATAGTTCGAAAGTGGGAGAAATTTAGGGGGTAACAGAAGCGAAAGAAAGGCAACAGAGACCCCCAAATCCTATCTATATGTAGGGGGAAAATACGGATCTATCATCCATTCATCCACGTGAATTTTGGTGAAAGATGGAAAAAGATTAAGTACGAGTTCTTCTTCCCTTTTTTTTTTACCAGCAAAGTACGAGGTCAGATTTCATTCTCTCTTTCATTGTATTTCTTCGTTTTCCATCCCCCTTTTCCCACTGTTTCCAAGCCCAGCAGTTTATATTATATAATAAAATTAGATATTTTAATTTAATTCATCAAGTCACTCTCAATGTAGGACTGCGAATATTATATAACAATATCATCATCTAGTTGCATTAGTCAATAACAGCTCCAGATAGCAATTGCAATATTGTTAATTAACAAGTTGATTAATCTTGATCAAGTACGTCTTTTATGGCATGGATAATAAAATAAAATTATATTTGTCTAGTGTTATATATAAATCTAATCCATTAGTCAGACTAAACGAGTTTTTAAATTCGAAAATGGGGAAAACGTTGCTGCGTTTTCTTCTAAAAGTGGTGGTACCATGATAGTCCATAGGCCGTGTCAAAACTCAAAGCTTGTCATTCTCTACAAAAACAAGTTATTTTAAATACATATAAATACAAGTTTAGACTCTAAGCTTCATTATTTTTTAATATATTTGTATTATAATGCTAACCAATTTTGAAAGGTCCCGTTAGATCCAACAATAAAATTCATCACGACAAAGAGGCCCTCTTAATTAATTGAGAGTATTTCTTGATTCTTCATTCAACTAAACAATTTGTATTGTTTAAATATTCCCATTTTCTTTCTCGGTTTAAACCTTGAACATTACATATATATGCCACCCGCTTTTACTATCTAGTTCTCAATATTTGAATTTTAAAAAAATATAATTCGGATTGAAAATAAAAAATAATTTTATAATTGAGATGATTCATTCCAAAGTCAAATAATTTCAATTATTATTACTTTATTGTTTAGACTATCATTTTTATTACTTGTGAAAAATATTTTTAATCTATAAAGAATAAATTTTAATTAAAAAAAAGCATTCCATTTATATGAATAAAAGAATTTTGGGGCATAATTGCAATCCCTCTGAATGCCTAACCGGCCAATAATAAGAGGACAAAATGGGGGAACCAGAACAATGACACTACAATAATAGCACGATGCACAAGCTAACATACAAAAGAAGCTTAAGAAGCAATAATAGGAAGGCAGTAGTAGTAGAAGGAGCTTTAAAAGAATTCAAAGGGAAGAGAGATAGTCAAAAAATGACATGATTGATGTGGTCAATAAGAAATAAAATATATAATATCTTAAGGGAAAGCAAATGAAAATTTCAAAGGAATCATTATCATAATAATAACTCTTGTTGGTCTTCAAATGAAAACACCCCACTTGTGAACCTCTCTCCCTCTCTCTCTTGTAATTTCCCAAACATTGAAAGTGAAAGACAGAGTGAAGAAGACGACCTTTGAAATAGGGCATCTTCTTGCCAGAAGGATTCAGAACATCGCACATGCTCTCCTTTCTATTTCAAATTCCCCATAAATGTATTACCAACGCTCCACCATCCTTTTCTTTTTAAATACATTAATAAATTCTATTTTTACTTTCACGCAGGTCATATTTGAAGGCCCCGTGATGTAATCACGTAAGGTAGAAATGTACCTGTTCTTGTCCTAGGCAGTTAACATGCTTGTAAAAATTAATCCAAAATTTAGTTGTAGGTTAAAAATGTAAAAAATTTTATGACCTTAGAGGTGGGTCATTTCAATTATATAAAGAGAAATTACTACGTGTTTCTAATAATAAAAAAAAATCACAATACAATCTTAATAATTAATAAGTATGAATATATTACATTTTTATATCGGAACTTGCCATTACACAGGATATTTTTTAAGTAGTAACATTAGTGGTGATTTTCCCAATATTGAAGTGGGGGGAAATGAGCGATGATGCGGGACCCATAAGTATGTGAAATCGTAGTCATCTTCAGTGACAAAGAGGAAGAGGCGAAGAAGATGATCATCTCAAAAAACCATGTCTTACTGACTTTGTTCAGTTGTTGGTTCCTATATTTTCTTTACCTATCATCATCACCGGCCCCACTTGGGACCCCACCCTTCACTTTCTCAACTTATCACCATTTTTGGTCCTCCTTCAGTCAAACGCCCCATTATTATTTTAAAAATCACTCAACTTATACGCCCATTATTTCCCTTTTCCAAACACTAATTATGTCTGGTTTCCTTTTAAATTCTCAGTCATCCTCATGGAATTATAACCTAACTCACATTAATCATTCACACCAATAACTCTACTAATCCATCGATCCAATCAAGAATTCTCAGTTACATTTTATATTCTTTTCTCCTCTTATTGAGCCTAAAGCAATCTCATTTTAATTTTTTTTCCTTTAAAAAAAAATAACAGCGGGTCATATTTTTTCCTTATTAAGCCTAAAAGCAATGTCATATTTAAGTTATATGCGATTATATATAAATTTTTTAGAATTATGCATGAAAATTTTTATATATTTTAATTGAATCATATTATTTTCCTTATGATCAAGTTGGTGCCAATTCAAATATAATTCCAGTTATTGATACTCGAATGCCTCTCTTGGCCCGCACAATACGTAATAACCCAATCGATCCAAATTTGAGAGCTCACTGGCTCCCCGGTTCCTTCTTTTCCTATGCTTCTCACCCACTCCATTCATCTTCTTCCCATCCAATCCCATCCCTCTTTCTACTTTCTTACTCCTACTTCTTTTTCCCCTCTCATCCATCCTTTCCACTCCCACTCTCTCTCTCTCTGGGTTTCTTAACTAGTGAACAAACCCTCCATTTTCCACATCTTAAAAGGTCAAGAATCTTCAAACTAGACTTCAATGAATCCCCTGTACTACCTCAATTATTAATATCCACCAGTTCATCTCAAGATACTAACTGAAGAATTTGACCGCAAAGAAGACCGGCCAATCTGGTGAAAATTTGAGTGGGAACTAACTGGTTGATGTTAATTCGGATTCATAACACTAACAGAGTGGAATTGAGCAGAACAAAAAGAAAAAAAAGTTATTATACAAACAATGGATGAAGCAAAACATTAATTCCTCGATTATTACAAATTTATCTCTCCTCCTCCTCCTCCTCATATCCAATGCCCGTTCATCTATATATGTAACAATCTTACAACAATGAAAAAGGAAAAATTGAATCAAGAGGACGGAGAAGAAGAACCTGAAGCTCTGGGAGATGTGGTCGGGAACAGAGACAATAATCGGGGTTCGGCGTCCCTGGGAGTAGTTGCCGGCGAAGGATGTAAGAAAAACCCCTTCTCTTTGATAGCCCTCTCCTCCGCCTCCGCATCCAAACTCGGGCTTCCGTTGCCATCGGCGCATCGGTACGGGTTCGCGGCCGAGCGATCGAACGGGTCGGGTAAGAGGGGCGTGACGGGGCTGAGAACGAGGGAGGGGAAGTCGAGGATGCTGGGGGATAGGATCTCGGGTTTTCGGGGCGAAAAACCGGAATTATTGGACCCGAAAGAAGGAATCAGAGGGTTGATCTTGAGATTCTTAAGGGAATTCCTTCGCTCGTAGAGCTTGAACCCAGACTGCTGCTGCTGCTTCTTGGGGTTGGATTTGATGGGCGGGATGTGAGTCTTGGAGGAAGCGGAATCGGAGAGGGGTTTGGGAACGGAGGCATGCTTCACGGTGTCTGAAGATCCGGTGAGCATTTGGACGACCTGCTTGAAGGAGGAAGTGTCGGCCTGGACGAAGGTGGTGGGGTAAGGGGCGGCGGATTCGGATCTGGTGATGGGTTTGGGAGGGGGTGGTTGCTGGGGCGGGACTCCATTGTTGGTAGCTGAGGTTGGGGAAGGAAGGAAAGATGATGAAGAGGGGTTGGGATTAGTGTTCTCTTGGTGCCTCGGAGATACAGAAGAAGCCATGGATGAGAGGTTATTGAGTTTTTGGGTTCAGACAGAGGAAGGAGGCAA